GGGGGCGTGTGTGTGTGTGTGTGTGTGTGTGTGTGTCTGTGTCTGTGTCTGTGTCTGTGTCTGTGTCTGTGTCTGTGTCTGTGTCTGTGTCTGTGTCTGTGTCTGTGTCTGTGTGTGTGTTTGTGTGTGTTTGTGTGTGTGTGTGTGGGTGTGCGTGTGCTTGTGCCTGTGCTTGTGCGTGCACGTGTGCGTGTGCGTGTGCGTGTGCGTGTGCGTGTGTGGGTGTGCGCGTGCGCGTGCGCGTGTGCGTGCGGGCGCGTGCACGTGCGTGCGCGTGAGTGTGCGTGTGCGTGTGAGTGTGCGTGCACGTGTGCGTGTGCGTGTGCGTGTGCGTGTGCGTGTGGGTGTGTGTGGGGGGGTGTGGATGGGGGATGCGTGCGCGTGCGCGTGCAGGCGGTATTTAGGTCAGGCCACGGGACACAGGTTGAGGCTTGGGACTATCGAGTTGAAAGGGTACATGTTGATTGTCATGACTTTAGGTTTGACGAGCGTTTGTAATGGAAGTCCATGAAAGACCAAGGTCCTACATCCCCTAGATGAAGGATTCACAGGCAATTTTTTTGGGTGGAAAGTTGATGCCACAGGCTTCTGGAGGTTGGAAACAGTAAACGCTGGCTCCGACGGGCCTTATCCCAAGCACTTCGGAGCGAGGCTGACCTAGAACAGCATAGGATCTTCGGAGATGAGATCCTTGTCATGGACAACTATGGCGCCACCGAGGCATCTGTCGCGGTGTACAGTACCTTTATTCATGCGGGCATGTCACATGCATGGATACAATATCCAACCCTGTCGCTCTTAATCTGCCTTGGGGCAGGTCGAACATGTTGTTCATTCTCGAAAGTCGACCAACAACTGCCACATGAGCGTCGAATTTCTTTTGGGGCGGCTGGTTGTCCCTTCAGAGGTGGGCAGCATATCTGTGAACGGCAAGATCTCGAACGAAGACACGAAGATCGTGGAGGTGAGGACTTCTCCAGGACTGTAGCACCATTCGCCTTGGCCTTGATCTTTGTGGTGCATCACCAGGGCAAAATATTACGCATCTTGCGGCTGCAGCTCTAGGAAAAGCGATATGAAGCAATATGAACACTCCGAGTGCCCATGTTTGATGTTCCAGGCTACGAAGATCTAAGAAGCACTGCCCCGACAACTCTGATCAGCGGTCTGTAGATCAGCAGCATCGATCCGTAAATGTGAACTCACATTTCAGTACGGCGAAGCCCGGCAACCAGAGACCTCCCGGCCGAAACAGACCGCGAACCGTACCTCCCAAAGAGGTGCCAGAGCTTGGCATCTACGCCCCCAGGGGTGAAATTTGCGTGAAGGCTGAGGGCGCCTTTGAGGACGGGCTACGTCTAGGGTTTGGGTTTAGGCTGGGGGTAGGAGTCGTAAAGGGCGACTTCTGACTGTTTGTAATCTGATATATAGAAGCCAGACTGATGAAGGGCTTAAACTCTTTGAGGCTTTCAGTGCAAACCGCTTCTCCCTCCGCCAAGCTCAGAGTTGGTGGATTGGAATTGAGTTTAGGCGAAATCATTCAGAGAAAGAAGCCGCCTGAACGATGCCTGATTTCGATATCGCAGGGTCTCGGGCAGTTCTGCTTCGCGATTTCAACTTGCACGGGTGGACTTATTCAGTCCCAGTATAGGATACAAGGCTAATCAAGCTTGATGCGTGGTGGGTCGTTCAGACGCTGTTCTGTATCTGGGGCCAGATGTCTGGTGCAACGGGGTTTGCAAATCACAACGAGAAGCCGTTCAGACTTCGCAACTTTCAGCGAGAGCTGACTGATACTGTACGCGTGGCACATATAGTGTAAATTCTGAATCGAAGAGGCCTCAGCTGCTATACTAGTCTAGTCGTTGGACAAACCTCCGCTCTGTTTGGGTCTGGGGATGGGTGTCTTGAATTCGGGGCTCCGCCCACCAGCAAGTCAGGGCTACTATGACACTGCACAAACGGCTGGTGCCCTGACGGACGACGGCTTCTACCGGACAGGTCTGCCGGGACCTGATGCATGTTGCATGATACCTTTACGGTTTTCCAGAAGATGTTATACTCATATGTAGTTTTGGAAGCCTCAAAGGCATCCGGACTGGCACCTTCCACCGAGTATCGAAGGGCCACAGCCCACAGCTCGAGGGCTTAAAGCAAAGCAGCATATACATCCGTCGGCATGGCTTCCAGGTGACATTGGCGAGATGCAGCATGGCATGTTGAAGGTGGTGGGGCGCCTCACCAATTGGGTCAAACTCGCCAATGGCAAGTTCGAGTCTCTGGAAGCTGTGGAAGACGAACTGTCCCAAACCTCTGACTTTGAGCAGGTCTGTGCTGTTGAGATCTCCGGTTCTCTGGCTGCCGTCGTGTATTCCACTCGTTGGGATCAGAATCCTTCTGCAGCGCCTTCCACATCTGTGCCTTGCGTGCGTGCGAAAGAGAAGTTTACCGTGGAGAATCTAGGCTGGCCTTTGTGAGGGGGACGGTGTTTGTGCGGTCGCTACAGTCTCATCATGCTGAAAGGGTCAATATAGTTTGACGCTCCCACTTAATAACAAGAGACCCAGAACCTTCTTACTTGACACCATTTGAAGCCCGAAATGCCAAACCCAATTATGCCAAACATGAACGCAACAAAAGCACCAAGACCCAAAAGGTAGCACAGCGGTATCGATGCATCAGATGTTCATAGGTTACAGCTGACGTCACCGTCTCTTCAGGAATGGGCTCTTGACACCATCCTTGAAGCTTCGACGCCCTGCCATCCGGGCCATGTATGAGCAAGAGCTGCCACTTCGGCTCGGCATGGACCCGTTCTTCATTTGATGAGGTTTTGTTAGAGTTCGGGCCAGGGGTTTAGGCTTTGTTGTTCCGGGATTATAGGACCAGCTGAGTTTGCACGACTTGAGCATGGGTATCTCAGAAATATCTCCCTGATCTCCTTCACCTTCTCAAAACAGACTGAAAAAAATGAATGAGGCAGCTCGAAAAGGAGCGCAGGCACTTCCAACTGCTGTGAAATCTACGCCAAAAGGTATGTATGCTTGAACACCTAATCCTGGGTTCCTACCACCAAACACGATCGGGGATGGCCCATTGTCCATGCCGGACCTAACCTCAGGTTACAGCAGATCAACGAGAAGCAGCTTGCTCTCAGCCGGTGGTTGCATGCCGTCACCGGGAGCACAGCGGACGTGGACGAGACGCAGCCGCTTCGCGGATGCAATTTCGAGCAGGTTTTAGGGTGCTGGAGGGATCCGGATCGCAGTGGTATTGCTGCTTTGCTTTGATCTTTGAATCTGTCCACGGGATCTGGCAATGGATGACTGCGACCTCATCCATTTAAGCCTGATCCCTTCATCTCCAAGGTTCCTGCTAAGTATGCTGGAAGATAAGGGTTTCTCTGCCGGGGAAGTGGTCGCTGGCATCTCAACCTTCTTCATGGGGTTTACCCGTCGGTGTGTTAAGAAGCAGAGTACTGGGAGGCTCAAGGCGCTGGGCGTCACCTCAGTGCACTTCGCTCGGCTGGTGGAGGGCTCAGGACTCAGGTTCAGACGCAGTATCAGTCCACTCGTCGTATCAGTGAAACCATCGACCGCCCGTGGTACGTTTGCAGAGCAACAGTATCAGTCAGAAGCACTGCAGCAAGTCCCATCGAGTTTAAATCTGCAAGGCGGTTGGTTTGGTGCTAGCATTCCCTATACAGTTTGATTCTGAACGTGAGGACACTGAGTTCTTCTGGAAGTTACTGTGCAAACCTAGCCATCCTCATTGTAAGCGACTAACGGTATTGGTCCTTTGACTAAGGTTATGCACCTTCTTACGACTAGCTGCGCAAATCGGAATATGCCGTTAGTGCCACTTGCGAGCTTCAGGTCTCAGAGTGGCCGTAGAGCGTGCTGACAGATAGCAAACTCCCGCGAATATTGAGCTTCCTGATAGCCTATCAAACTCCACTTCTGGGGGAGGGATGTTGGGTTCAAGCATGGAGCGAAGTCATCCTCCTCTCAGCCACAGAATTCCGCAGGTATGCCATAAGCCTGTGCCTTCCTGGAAAGGCCGCAGACCTTGGCGTTCCAGTCCATGCCGTGGCAGCTGCCGGAACGCTGAGGGACCTCAAGGCTCACATCTCAGGGGGTCTTTACGCCTTGCTCGTTTGGCCTAAATCCAGAAAACGCGACCCCGAGCACCAAATCCTGAAGGTTTGCATCGTACAAAGACCTGACCAGTATGCTTCGAATGATCGAATGCAAAGTAAAGATATGTAAAGATACTACCCAAAGCTTACATGTGACTCTGTTGACCTGAGTGCTGCTCAAGGACACTAGTTAGATTCAGCCTGCATTGATTTGCTGCTGCTAGAGGCACTCTCCCAGACGGACAAGCTCGGTGTGTCGGCAGCCCTCGCAGATGTTACGAGATTTAGCTGCTTGCCTGCAACAGCAATTCCCCACTCGCGTCCTACGTTTACTTACTTAGTGGTTGGCCAGGAGTTCAGCAGGAAGGGAGGATGATGTAGCTCTTTCGTGATGTGGAATTTAGACATCTGTAAATCCTTGCACCAAATCGAACTTACATCTCGAGCATGCTAAGACTTTTGAGACATAGATGATAACTAGTGTGCAGTCCCGCAGTCCGCGAGGTCTCCACTGGATCCTGAACTGCCCTGAAGCTACGTATACAGACGCTCAACTCGCTGTCCCTAACCCGAAGTTCTTACGTGCTGCTCCCTTCATCGAACCCTCGAAGGTCGAACTTTAAAACGCTTCCGCCGTCTCCAGGCTCCAGCTGCAATGTTTCTGCCTCCCCAGTGTCAAAGACCTGGAGAAAGGTCCTCGTTACCGGAGCGACAGGCAGCCTGAAATTAGACAGTTCGGCTCTTATTTGAGCATTTGGGCTTGGGCATTCGAGCTCAAGCTGGGAAGGGAGTTGTGGGCTGAGGATCTAGGGCTCAGAGCAGAGCGGGGTTGGTGTGTCGATGGTTCCACGAGTTTGATTCACGGTCTTGAGAGTGTGGTATCGCTTTCGAGGGCCGACATTCGGTTTCAGGGCTGTTCATAGCAAATTCGGCGTCTGAGGTTTTCACAAGAACGGCGATGGGGCTCAAAAGGGGGCGTAGGTATGATTTCCAGCTGGCGTTCGGGAGTGTCAGGTTAGGTTTCCGGGTTTGGGAGTTTGGGGTTCGAGGGTTGCGGCTTCAGGGTTTGAGGCCCAGGGCTCATAACACTGTCATCCAGGGGACAAAACGGGTCCGGTTGTTTGAGGTTCTTCGGGATTCGGAAATCTGGGTTTGGAACATCTTTGTCAGCTCAAAGTAGGGTGCAGCCTCAGGAGGTGTAGAGTTGAAGTTGCTTACTCGTAAAGTCGAGTCCGAGGCAGCAACTCCCAACGGATAATTTAGAGATGTTCCTCAAGTATGGGCTGTGTGCTTCTGCTGTCCGACCTTAAGGCATCGGGACCTCCCGGTGAAAGAACTGAAGCCTACGGCAAGCACTGAAACCTCCCTCGGTCCGCTGCAGCTTCTGGTATCTCAACACCTAGAAACGAAAGTCATCATGCTTGAGCATCAGTCGAGCATTTGACGGACGAGCCCAAAGCCGTAAGAGCGAACGACACCGACTTTTCGCCGGGGAGGGCATCTCGGACGCCACTTCATGGAGATCCTTCGGGCACATGGGATCTCCGCTGTTCCTCTGTCGCGCTCCCTAGGCTGGTCCTGGGGGTTCGGACGGTGCCATCGGGCTTGGAGTTGGGGTTGGCGCTCGTGACTTGCAGGGTTTCAGTTTCAAGCTAGCGGCAAGGAGGATGCTGTATGCTCCGTCCCGAGAACACCACGAACACCAGTGCAAGTGTCCGATTTCCATGTTCCAACTTTGCGACTTCTGCTCTCGAAGTGTACTCGGAGGCACACAAGCCTCGGAAGCCGAAAGGGTACGAAAAGCCTATGCTCCATTGGCCCTAGACACCAAAATGATCCAGACTGTGATGCCTACTGTGTCCTTCTCTCTTGTAGAAGAGGGTCCTAGCCCAATGAACGGGGAGGCCACGACGTTGCCCAGCCGATGTTTGGCAGCTTGGAGCCACAAGAGCTGATGCCTTGAGCTTTTCAGGACACACGGAAGTCACAAATCCTCTAAGAAGCCTAAGCCCAAGAATCCTGAATTCCAATCAAGGAGCCCCTGATGGGCCTCGGGCTCTGGGTTTTGGCTTCGAGCATTTGCGACCCTAAGTTGCCGGGCTTCTACGGGCTCCAAGTTCTGAAGGCTACATGGTCTTTAGCTGCTGTGCTCCAGGCTCTGGGCTTCGTGGAGGCTTCCTTTGTTGGAAATATCCGAAATCCAAGTTCTGCGGGAGTCGACAGCCCGATACATTTCATAGTTTTGCATTGCTGCAGACTTGGAAGCAGCATCCTGTCTCGTAAAGCTGCAGGATCTGTGTCAGAGCATGCGCACCACTCGCAGCAACTAGCAATTATGTGATGATGACCAGGTTGGGCATGATGTCCCGTGAGCCAGCCAGTACTTTCTGCATCTGCATCGTAATCACGGTCCTTGTTCGTCTCCAGAATCGTCACAACAAGACCCATGCTGGTTTTCGTCCTCGGCATACACGCCATGTAGCCCACCAAAACCTCGCAGTAACACCAACGTTGGGGGGCTCACTTGTATGTTAAACGCTCGGGATTCAGAATTTTTCTCCGTAGACGAAGAGGCTTGACATGGGGAGGTTGGCAGCGTGAGGGTCAGGGGTGGCCACCTTAGAAAAACATGTATGGGCTTACAGCCTGCCTACGGCTCGGCACTCTCATGTGGTTTACAGGTATGGCCCGTGAGACCTTCGACTCCGTGTCGGACTGCGATGCCGTCATTCACTGTGCAGCCATTGTGCCGCCCGGCTGGACAACAACTGTTACAGTGGATCTGGCTGTTTCGTATTCCTCATGATTGTGCCCTGCTTGTAATTGACGTAGATATGAACTTGTTGCGTCCAACCGTGTTACTGGAGTGTGACCTAGTTTTCTCTCCAGACCTTCCAGCTGCACGAGTGGTGCTGCCAGTAGTCTGAGTATGTATGTGTCTGTGTGTGATCTTGTATGCGTACGTCTTTCCAGCAGTACCGTCCTCACAAGTTCAAGATACCTGTAGCATTGCTTCTACTGTTTCTATCGTAGACACTCATCAGCTGAGTTTGAATATGAGTGTGACTTGTATTACAGAAGTGTTCCTTGCTGTCGCAGCCAGTTGCTAGTGCTGCTAGTGGTAGTACCAATACTTGCAGTACCAGTGTTGGGTGATCTCCTACGCCTCCTGCTACTGTACTATCCCTACGACCAGTACCACCACAACCACCACTACTGCTGCTGCTACTTCTACTTACTGCTACTACCACCACCACCACCGCCACCACCACCACCACCACCACCACTACTACCACTACTACTACTACTACTACTACTACTATTACTACTATTACCACTACCACTACCACTACTACTACTACTACTACTACTACTACTACTACTCTGCTGCTGCTACTACTACTACTGCTGCTGCTTCTACTACGAGTACTACTACTACTACTACTACTACTACTACGACTACTACTACTACGACTACTACTACTACTACTACTACTACTACTGCTACTGGCACTGCTACTGCTACTGCTAGTGTTGCTACTGCTGCTGCTATTCCTACTACTCCTGATACGAGTATTACTTCTTCCACTACTACTACTACTACTACTACTACTACTACTACTACTACTGTTACTACTAGTAGTAGTAGTAGTAGTACTACTACTACTACTACTACCACTACCACTACTACCACTACTACTACTACTACTACTA